CCCCCCGTCCCCCAAGTCCAGCCTATCCCCGCTCAGTGAGGAATCTGGAAAACCTCACTTGGACTATCTGCTGGGGTGGCGGGTGCAACTTACACAAAGGGCCTCAAATGAGGGCGGAGTGCGGATCCACAGACAGGATCAGGCTTTTGTTTGGCCCATGCAGTGTTTTTTTGAAAGTAAAATTAAGCCAATACTTTAAAAGCACAGGATTCAGTTAAAAATACAGATTGCCAGCTTCTCTTGAGAAATGGCAAGAATCGAAAAATATTTACACAACATCTATTACTAGGCGCCAAACACTGTTCTAGGAGCAGGGGACACAGCATTAAAACAAATGTGAAAGAGGAAAACCACTGTTACTGCGTTACTTACCTTCCAGCAGGGCAGATGGACAACAGCCAAACCAGCCTAATATAAAACATACCTGCTCATGAGCGCTTTAAAGATAAATAAACCAGGAAAGGGGCTGACGATGGAGAGGGACGGTGGACTTTAAATAGGTGGTCAGAGGGGATATCTGAGGCTGAGCACTCTAGGCAGAGGGAAGAGCAAGCGCAAGGGTCCTGGGGTGGGGATGTGCTCTGTAAGCTGGAACTATATGGAAGCGCCCTCTTTCCACTGGAGTTGCTAAGCTCAAAGGACAGAAGCCTGGAACTGATATTGGTGACTTTTGCCACCACATGGGAAAGGCCTGCCAAAGGATGAAAGCAGAGCTGAGAGAGGGAGAGAGACTGGTTCTTGATGATGTTGTTGGAATGCTGGATCCAGCCTTACCTGAATCTATTATGGCCTTTTTTGAATACCATGAGCCAATGTGTTCCTTTCTTTTTTTTCCTCCTCAAGTCAAATTTAAATTGAATTTCTGCATTGCAACCCTCCTTCCTCTGTGTCTTCATAGACCAGTTACCTTGGAGCAAACAGGCATCTAATAGGCAACCAGAATTAGCTCAGTCTGGAAAAAAAAATACACCAGCCTTCGGCCACTCCCTGTAACCCCCTCCCCCCACTTCAGAGGCACTGCCACCCAAGCTAGGGCCTTGCAGGAGGACAGGAGACATTTGTGAAGCCTCTACACCTAGGCCCGCTGAAATCCTGCACTGACAATTAAAATTCAGTGACAATAAACAGCACTAATTAAAAGCAAAAGTAAGTACTTAATAAGACATGAGGTGGCAGTGTTTATAGTCAGGATGAGAGAGCTGGCAGTAATTAAAAATAAAGACTAATTTCTTTGCCTCTTCTAAAAAAATGCTGTGTGTGTGTGTGTGTGTGTGTGTGTGTGTGTGTGTGTGTGTCTGGAAAAGGTCTGACTTATGATTCTTCTACTTTCTGATGGTTCCAAAGCGATACGCATACTAAATTCCATGAGATCAATATTTATTATAAAACAGGCTTTGGGTTAGATGATTTTGCCCAGAAAAAAAACGCAAAGGCGTCTCTTAGTTCCCATGAATAATAGATCTTAGAGACCTGCCTCCCTCTATTTCCCTCTCCTGCCCAGGCCTTCCTGGCACCAGGTTGGGGAAAGTCAGAGAAACACGAACCTCAGCGTTGGCTGGAGAACATGAATGAACCAGAGTTCCTGCCTCGCTCCCCGTGTCCCCCTGGAAACAGCCACCGGAACATCAAGTATGCGACTCACAAAGCCTCTGGTCGTCACCATCACGAAGGACAGGCGGGTGTTGGGACCCTCATCACTGGCAGCTCAGAGGGGTAGAGGTCGAGAGGGTTCAAATCCCAGCTCTGCCTCTTTCTAGCTGTATGATGTTAGGACAGTTACTAAACCTCTCTGTGCCTCAGTTTCTTCATATGAAAAACAGGGATTATAATAATAGTGATAATAGCAGGACTGGCGGGTGTTAGGACCCTCATCACTGGCCGTATGATGAACTATTCCTCTTTATTTGGAACTAAGCATGTGCCAGCAGTATTAACTCATTTAATAATATAGATATTATGCTATATATGTAGTGTATATACATATATGATGATATATCAGATATTATATACATACTATGTAATATGTTATATATCATATACGTGTATATAAAACACTAGGCTAATCAGCAAGCGCTCCTCACCTCCCCCTTCCCCTCTCACAATGAAGACTATTAAGTGGCACAAATGCGTAGTCGTTGGGTCTGGTTTCTAGATTATTTTGCAGAGAGTGACAGAGGCAAGGGGGAAACAGTGAGGTAACTGATACAGAGACGATCTGGGAGGAAACGGGCCAGGGGCCTGCAAAGTCCTGTCCCTGGGGCTTGGTGCCCGGCAGGCTCCTCCCACGAGCACCCCAAGGTGCACGCTGATCCCCGACCCTCCGCCTTTCTGGGGCAGAGCCAGCGAAGCGGGAAACGGGAAACCTGTCCGGAGGAGACACACCGGCGAGAACCCACCAGGGACGGGAAACTTACGGGAACCATCCGGCCCCCGGGCTCTCTGGAGTCTGGCGAGATAGCGAGCCAGGGCCGGGAGCAAATGGGTCTATGAGAGTATTTTCCATCTCCAGCGCCCAGGGCGCGCTCGGAGGCGAAAGGCTTGCGGGAACCGGGGCTGGCTGCAGGCGCTCGTTCTCCAGCCAGGCCGCCAGCTCGGTTTCTGCCATTAACGGGGCGGCGGAGAGGGCGGGTGTGGGGAGCAGGAGGGTCTCATTGTTCCAGGCTGAGGGCGAGTGAGGATTGAGTTCCCCTGGCCCTGGTTTCCAGCCCTTTCTTCAGAAAAGAAAGGGAAGCTTGAGGGTAATTTCTCTTTAAAAGAGGAATCGAGGCTTTGCAGCTATTTCTGAGGTTTTGGTCAGGTTTTGCACGTCCACACTGCCATATGAAAATCAAGAAAGGAAACTAAAGTGTCCCCAGTGAGCCTCCTCGCAACCTGGGGACGTTAGGAGCCTTGAGTGGGAAACCAAGCTCTTGTGACATGAAGCCAGCCGGAGGCGCTCTGTGAAGGGTCTGAATTCAGAGGCCAGAGGAGCCGGAGGTAACACTCCACTCCTCCCACAGTCACTTCACCTGGGGCTTCTGGGGACATCTGCAGGACCTCTCCTCAATAATCACCCCTCCTAGGAAGCCGACCTGTGCTCAGCTTAGGGACCCACTTGATAGGAAGTAACTAAAGCGGGACACTTCCCTTGGGCTGGTCTTGGCTCTGCCTCTTGCTAGCTTGGGACCTTGGCCCCTCTGTGCCTCACTCTCCTTGCCTGGAAAATGGGGTTATAATTGTACCTTCTTCTCAGGGGCAGCCTGAGGGCCAGGAGGCTTTTTCTTCTCTTGTTTCTCTCCTTTTAAAATATAATCCACCACATAAGAGACTGTCCCCGAGAATTTGCAGCGGCTGCTTCCCCGCGCGGCCTAAACCCTTCGCCTGCAATGCAGGTCTTCTTAAATATTGCAGAACTCTGCTGCTCCACCAGCTGCCGGCCGGGGCCGGGGTAATGATGATAGTGACAGAGGCCTAATGTAATTAAGCAGGTTAAAA